GTGATGCCAGCCCAGCCCTGAGCCCTGTCAGTCCTCACCTGTCCACTGAGGAAATTAATAAAAGAGATCTTAGCTAAAGAGGAGTCAGAAAGGCCTGTAATGGGAGCGCTCACGCCCTATCGTACCTCATCAATTACTCCAAACAGGAAGAGAGGTGCTTATGTCTCCAACAGGAAGTACAACTACTCTACAGCTGAAGGAGGATTTCTCTCCCACTGGCAACAGCTCAGCCAATGAGAGGTGTTTCTGCCCTCAACTCTTACATTCCCCCAAGGGGCTTTCATTTAGAACAGCCCCTCCCTACTCCCCCATTTTCTCTGTAAAAGATGCTTTTTTTCCCACATTTGCCCATCTTTTGCCATCACTCCCCATCATGATCCCAGAAGCAGGAGGCCTGGAGACAGAGGGATCTTAGGTCACAGGAGAGATTGTGCTGCCTGAGGATGAGACAGGCTCCTGGGAGGAGAATGGACACTATAGGGGAGGGAAGCATGTTACAGGAGGCCCCTCCCAAGGGGTTGAGATCATAAAGAGAAAGCAGCTGGAAGGAGCCCAGCCCTGCTGCAGAGGCCCTGAGAGCACGGTTCTAGGGGAGACTGAGTTAGTTAGCGAGGGCGGCTGTCACAGAGCACCACACACTGGGGGCTGACAATAGAGATTTACTGTCTCACAGTTCAGGGGTTAAACGTCTGAGATCAAGGTGTCAGCAAGGTTAGTTTTCTTCTGGGCTGTACAGGAGAATCTGCTCCAGGCCTCTCTTCTACTTCCTGGTGGTTTGCTGGCAATCGTTGGTGTTTCTTGCTTGTAGATTCTGCCTCAATCTTCACATGATGTTCTCCCTTGTTATTGTCTGTCTCTGAATTTCTTCTTTTTATAAGGACATCAGTCATATTATTTGGATTAGGGCTTACCTTAATCCAGTATGTTCTCCCTTTAAATTAACTAATTACATCTGCAATGATCCTGTATCCAATAAGGTTCCATTCAGAGCTACGGGGGTTAGGACCTCAATATACGGATTTGAGAGGGGACATAATTCAAGACATAACAGTGTCTCTGCTATGGTTGGGTCCCCCTTTCCCTTGGGGGGATAGTTGTGGGTGTACAGCTTTGCAGGTTTAGAGGCACCACCAAGCTCTCAGGGACTCAGGTGGGGAATGAACTAACATCCCCTAAATGACCCATCTATTGTACCTGATTTCCAGGCTCCTTCCACAGTCAGCAAATCTATGACACAAAGAAAGGTGACCTCCACAGCCTCTTATTCAGGCCATAAGTGGGATAAGAACCCAATTTCTTCTGTGGGGGTTCAGGAGCAAAAGCCTTCCTGACAGAGTCCCCATGACACCAAGCTAATCTGCTTCTCCTCCAACTGTAGGTCTTGGTCCTCAAGAGCCAGCTCAGCTCTGCTGTAGACATGGCATTCATAAGAGCCTGGTAAACTTCCCCTGTGCTCTCTGGACTGACCTGTGGGATCAGTGTGAGGAGCCCCTGCTCTCTCTGCCCAGTGTCCCTTCCCCTCAGTGACATCAGCCCAGCCCTGAGGCCTATCAGTCCTCACCTGCCCACTGAGGAAATTAATAAAAGAGACCTTAACTAAAAAGGAGGCAGGAAGGCCTGTAATGGGAGATCTCATGCCCTGTCATACCTTATCAGTTACTCCAAACAGGAAGAGAGGTGCCTGCATCTCCAACAGGAAGTCCAACTACTCTACTGCTGAAGGAAGATTTTCTCCAACCCCAGCAACAGCTCAGCCAATGAGAAGATACTGCTGCCCTGAACTGTTGCTGCCCCTCAATGGACTCTCCTTTAGAGCAGCCCCTCCTTACCCACCCTTTTTCTCTATAAAAGCAGCTCCTGTCCTTTGCTTTCTAGATTTGCCTATCTTTTGCTATAGTATGCACATCCCGAATTGGAATTATTTAAGCTATTCCCAAATAAACTCATTTTAAGGGTAAAATAACTGGTGAATTTGCTTTTTAAGTTGACACCTGCATGCCGCCCTCTGTGGATGAGTCAGAGCACTCACACTGATGTCAACAGGCGCAGTTCGGGTTTGCAGTTTCTATCCCGGCCCCTCCCCCCCCCCCCCGAATGAGGAGTCTGATGCAGGGCTGACTCTAGTGAGACAACGGGGATGGGATGACGCACATCGCAGATCTGGACAAGCATGAGGCAGTTCTGCTGTCGTTCGGCTGGGACATCACCCGATGCCACTTTTGGAGAACCAGGGCCACATCCTTGCATCCAAAGACCTAGTGGTCAGGACTGGAGGCTGGGAGAATGTGCCCCTCCATGACCTGTTCATAGGGCATTGCATTTGTGATCTTGCGTGCATGTGCATGAGTGTGTATTTTGATTTGGCCAGGAAATGTTGCCAATGTCACATGTCCCAATCCCGAGACTTTCTCTCTTCATAACATTCTTCCTTTCATTATTCCAGTGTCTTTGCTTTATATTATGCATAGGAATAAGGATAAGGATATCAATAGAAGGAGAAAAGGGAAACATTCATATGTGCTTAATATGTATCAAGCACCATCCAAAGCACTTCATATTTATTAAACTGTTTAATCACACATCCTCTATGAACAGGAATTCTCATCATCACCCAGTTTTACAGATGGGGAAACTGAGGCATGGAGGGATGAGCAACCTTCCTGAGGTCAGAACTAGAAAGTGGCTGACCCAGCAGCAAACGCAGGTCTCTGACCCGAGTCCCCGGTCTCCACCACCATCCTGTGGCCTCTCATTGTGCCTTCAAAGCTGAGACTTGGCCTCTCCTTAATGTGCAGGAACTTCTCTCTCCTATTTCAAAAGGAAATGACTGATATAGTGACTTCTCAGTGCAACCCTGTCCAATAGAAACAAAATTCGAATCACATATGTAATTGAAAATTTTTCAGTAGCCACATTTAAAAACTGAGGAGAAACAGGTGGAATTACTTTTGGAATATATTTTGTTTAACTCAATTAATTGAAAATATTATCATTTCAATGTGAGTTAAACATAAAAATATTGACATATTTTACGTTATTTTTATAGTAAGTCTTTGAGAAGTGGTGGGTATTTCAGAACTACAGCATATCTCTAGTGGGACCACCCACATTTCATGCTCGGCAGCTAAATGAGGCTCGTGGCCACGCTATGGACAGAGCAGGTTGGATGGATGAGTTTTCCTTGGGGTAATGGTCCCTGCAGTGTGTAATCACAGCCACCAGGCGGCGATGGAGAGTCCCATATCCCAGAACCTCACAGGAGGGCAATGGCTGCTCCAATTTCCAAGCAAATCAGGAATATTAAGGCCACCTAGAAATGAGGGAATTTTTATAACGTGTCCACATTACTTCTGTTCTTGAATACAAGATATTAAATACAACTACAATATTAAAGATGAATCTGAGGGGCCGGCCTGGTGGCACAGTAGTTAAGATCACACATTCCACTTTGGCGGCCCAGGTTTGCCGGCCCGGATCCCAGGTCTGGACATGGCACCACTTGGTACGGCATGCTGTGGTAGGCGTCTCACATATAAAGTAGAGGAAGATGGGCATGGATGTTGGCTCAGGGCCAGTCTTCCTCAGCAAAAAGAGGAGGATTGGCAGCAGTTAGCTCAGGGCTAATCTTCCTTAAAAAAGAAAAAAGATGAATCTGAGCCATCAACATATTTTTCTTTTTTTGAGGAAGATTAGCCCTGAGCTAACATCCGTGCCCATCTTCCTCCACTTTATATGTGGGATGCCTACCACAGCATGGCTTGACAAGCAGTGCATAGGTCCACACATGGGATCTGAACTGGCCAATCCTGGGCCACCAGAGCAGAACATGGGAAGTTAACCACTGCGCCACCAGGCTAGCCCCCATCAACACTTATTTCCACTATTAGTCAGTGTAGTGAAGGACAATAGTGTGTGTGAATTTTTAAATTAATATTGACATCTGTATCTCTTTCAGAAAAGATCATTTCCATAAACCTCATGACAAGTCATAAAGTTATGTTTTGAGCATAATTGAGAAAGGAAGGCTGATCATAAGAAATATTTTATTGAATTTGGATTACCCGGTATTCTCCACAAAGAGATACATTTTCCTAACCTAAGAGCAATGATCAATTTAGAAATGGTCAGTTCTCCCCAGGATGGTACTAACAAGTTCCCTCCCATGCTGTAATGAGACCCAGAAGCAAAGGTGTCAGAACCAGCCTGCAGGAGTGGCCAGCAGGGCCCCATGGGGCAGACTCTAAGGTGTGAAGTGTGAGGAGTGGAGGCATCAAGGTGGGGGGTGGAGAGGAGCTGTGTGTAACACGTTCAGTGGGAACAGAAGTGCATGTGTCTGAGGCATGTGGCCCCCATCTCATCTTCGATGATCTCTTCAGACCAAACTCTGAGGAGTGAGCACATGGGGTCTCCTGTCTGTGCTCATGTATCAGCACAGCGCTTGACACATTATTTCCATGTACAACATCTCTAGCATTTTGTCAGTAAATTAGTGTCATCACATCCTCAGCAGTACTAGGTCTGAAAACAAATACATTTCTTCACAATATTAGGTGAAAAATGCATCTTGCCATCATGTGTATAAACTTTAAAAAGTTTCTGTTCCTACTCTGACAGTTGTCCAAACTCAGTGGCCTTGACCATGTCAGAAAAGGAATCCTGATCCTGACTTGTCAGGAGAAGAGCATGACAAGAGGAGCCTGGCCAGGCATCTGATTTCCCCAATGTCCCATTGACACATTCTTCTGTGTTGTCTGTCATGGAGGGAGCCGAGAGAAGGTCCCCATCTCTGTGTGTGAAGAGACATGTGTTTCATTGTGACACACAGGTCCCAGCACTGTGAAGATCTGGGTGCTCTTCAAAACAGACTCAGGGAGGAGGGAGCACCTGAATACAAAAGAGAAAGGTGTTGACAGGAGGGCCCAGGAGGGCTGGGATGAGGGTGGAGGAGGTCTTGGTGAGGGGCAGGCAGGGAGGGAGCTGACATGTCAGGCTCTGAAGTCAGTCTCCTGGCTTGGACTCTTGACTGACTCATCACTGTCTGGGGACTTTGTGGAAGTCATTTAACCTCACAATGATGGCTCCTCCTCATCAGACTGGAAGAGAAGGTGGCCTCAACCAGAGGGCTGCTGATGGGTTATTGTGATAATCTGGCTGAGGCGGTGCATGTAAACACTCACCAAGGGTCTGATGTCTATTAAGGGCTCAGAAGTAGTCATTCTACTGAACTAGCTGTACGTGTAAGATGACATTCAACCTAGGGGCACAGGGGGCACTGTGGGTCCTGGTTTGGGGACCCTAATAAGATCAAGTCCCTCGGGTTGTACTCAAATGCAAATGGCATGACTGTCACTTCCTTTGCAGGCACTTCTATTGGGCATAATCAACCCCCAACTCTGAAACTCACACCTGGCCCTTCTTCTGACCTCAGGAAATTACCAGCCAGAAGTCCTTAGCCTCAGGGCTCAGACAAGAGCTCAGAAAGAAGGAATAGAGAGTAGATTTGCATTCAATGCTCCTCCCTTCTTGAGCTGCAAGAAAAGAGGATAAGACTGGAGCTTGAAGAGGCCAGTGCAGCTGGGCAGCCTCAAGGCAGAGCTCCTGGAAGCCTCCACCATGGACTGGGTTTCCTTCTACCTCCTGCCCCTCATCTTCTCCACAGGTCAGAGTGTCCCAGAGTACTCAGGGGTCTTCATCCCTGACATATCCTCCAAGTACCTTCCCCAGGGACATCTGTCCGGTCTTGGGTCATTCAGCATCATTCTTGTATTTTCTGTTTCCAGGTCTCTGTGCTCCTCCTGTGCTGACCCAAGCCTCATCTGCATCTGCCTCCCTGGGAGCCTCAGTCAAGCTCACCTGCACCCTGAGCAGTGCGCACAGCACCTACTATATTGAGTGGTATCAACAGACACCAGGGAAGGCCCCTGGATATGTGATGAAGCTTAAAATGACGGAAGCCACAGCAAGGGGGATGGGATACCTGACCGCTTCTCAGGCTCCAGCGCTGGGGCTGACCGCTACTTGACCATCTCCAGTATCCAATCTGAGGATGAGGCTGAGTATTACTGTGGTGTAAACTATAAAATTGATAACCAAGTTGGGTAAGCCACAGTGACACAGACAAAGGGGAAGTGAGGCCAAAACCTCCCCCTCCCTCTTCCCCATGGTGACTCAGGGTGAGCTAGTCCCTGTTCCTCTCCAGGACCCTGAGATGTTTGACTCTTCTTGTAAAACCCATCATCCTGCACCTTCTCCTGAAGACTCCGCAAGGATTAGGCAGACTTATGTCACAATTTAGGTCATTTTGACAACACGACATTCTATTTCCTCTACCACAGGCTTGTGCAAATGAGGCTGGGAGGGACCAGACCAGTCCAGGCAGGAAAATTACCCTGAGAAAGTGGCTGAACTGAGATGACCATGTCCCCAAGAACCATTGGGCTCAGTACACACATCACGGGGCTTTGTTTGGGGAAGCTATACAGATCTCAGGGGTCCAGGGGGCACCCTGGAAGCCATCTGCAGTTAGTATCTTGAATCCAGGTGCACCATGGTGTACAGCAGGACTCCTGTCAGGGTTGAGGGTTCAGCAGTAAGCCTTTGGCGCTCAAGGGAGGTAGGACAGAGAGACCTGAACCCCATTTTTGGTGTGGAGTTGGGGTTCAGCAGGGAAGTGAGGTGCATGTTAGGAGGTCTATGGCAGGACTGAAATGGAGCACGGTTTTTTTTCTCCATCTGAGTTATATTCTCAGCTTGTGGTGCCAAGAATGGCTCCACATCCTGCACAGGACCTTTCCAGGGACAGGCTAGCATCACATCCATGGAGACAGCAGCAAGGCATGGGTGATGGGGACACAGAGTTGGAAAATATGTTGACATCCCATTGTCTCAGCACAGTGAGTGATCTGCCTCAAATGCATTGGAGGGGGCAAGTCTCCAGGATGTATTGAATTCCTCCATAGCTTTTCTGGAATCTGAAAACAAGCATCTTTCACACACACCCACACATTGTGTCAACATGCAGCAGCTGTATTGACCTTGTAACCCTCGTCTCTGTCACTGACCTGAGCAACTCAGGTGGGATATCAGGGGTGGGCTCTAAAAAGTCAGGCTGGCCTAGCCCCATGTCTGAGCTCTGAGATGGTAATTCCGGGAACCCAAGCAGAACAGAAAAGAGAAAAAAGAATTAGACAGAATGAGAACAGTGTAAGGGAACTCTGGGACAATATCAAGCGTGCTAACATTCGGATTATAGGGGTCCCATAAGGAGAAGAGAGAGACAAAGGGGCAGAAGATTTATTTGTCGAAATAATAGAGGAAAACTTTCCTAACCTGAGGAAGGAAACAGACATCCAAGTTCAGGAAGCACAGAGAGCTCCAAACAAGAGAAGCCCAAAGAGGCCCACACCAAGACATATTGTAATCAAGATGTCTAAAATTAAAGACAAAGAGAGAATCCTAAAAGCAGCAAGAGAAAGGCCACAAGTGACATATAAAGGGAAGCCCATCATGCTATCAGCGGACTTCTCAGTCGAGACCCTACAGGCAAGAAGAGAATGACACAACATATTTAAAGTGCTAAAAGGAAAAAATCTACAACCAAGAATACTCTATCCATCAAGGTTGTCATTCAGAATGGAAAGGAGAGATAAAGAGCTTCCCAGACAAGCAAAAATTAAAGGAGTTTATCACCAAGAAACCAGTTCTGGAAGAAATGCTGAAGGGACTTATTTAAGTGGGAAAACAATGACCACAAATAGAGATTTAAAAAAATTAGCAAAACAAAACAAAACAACAACAACAACAAAAAACAGGCAATAAAATCACTTGTAAGTAAAAGTATAGTAAAGGAAGCAGATCAACTACCTGTGAAGATAATTTGAAGGTTAAAAGACAAATGTACTAAAATCACCTATTTCAATGATAAGAGGGTAATGGATAGACACACATAAAGAAAACACTCTATATGATGTGAAAAACATATGTGGGAGGAGGGGAGTGAAAAAGTGGAGCTTTTAGAAAGAGGTCAAGCTAAAGAGTCTATCTACTTAATATAGACTGTTATATGCATAGTATATTAAATAGGATCCCCAAGGTAACCACAAACTAGAAACCTATAACAAGCAGGAAAAAAAGTAAGACAAAAGAAATCAAACATATTACTAAAGATAGCCATCAAACCACAAGGGAAGTGAGCAAGAGAAAAAGAAAGGAACTGAGAAGAGCTACTAAAACACCCCCCAAAAAAGAAAAAGTGACAAAATGGCAATAAATACATATTTATCAATAGCTACTTTAAATGTCACTGGACTAAATGCTCCAATCAAATGCCATAGGGTGGCCAACTGGATAAAAAAACAAGATCCATGTATATGCTGCATACAAGAGACACACTTCAGACCTACAGACGCTCACAAACTGGAAGTGAAAGGATGGAAAAAGATATTCCATGCAAATAGCAAAGAAGAGAAAGCGGGGGTAGCAATACTTATATCAGACAAAATAGACTTTAAATCAAAAACTGTAATAAGAGATAAAGACGGGCACTACATAATGATAAAGGGAACAATCCAATAAGAAAATATAACACTTGTAAATATCTATGCCCCCAACATAGGAGCACCTAAATATATAAAAGCAATTATTAACAAATATAAGAGGAGAAATAGACAGTAATACAATAATAGTAGGGGACTTTAACACTCCACTTACACCAGCAGATAGATCATCCAAAGTGAAGATCAATAAGGAAACACTCGCCTTAAAGGACACATTAGACCAGATGGACTTAGTAGATATATACAGAACATTCCATCCAAAAACCACAGAATACACATTCTTTTCAAATGTCATGGAACATTCTCCAGGATTGATCGCATATCAGGCCACAAAACAAGTCTCAATAAATTTAAGAAGATCGAAATAATACCATGCATCTTTTCTCACCACAAAGCTATGAAACTGGAAATCAACTACAGAAAGAAAACCAGAAAAGCCACAAAAATGTAGAGATTGAACAAAATGCTACTGAAAAATGATTGGGTCAATGAAGAAATCAAAAAATTCCTGGAAACAAATGAAAATGAAAACACGACATGCCAAAATTTGTGGGATACAGCAAAATCAATTCTACAAGGGAATTTTATAGCAATTCAGGCCTACCTCAACAAAGAAGAAAAATCCCAAATAGACAATCTAAAAGCACACCTAAAGGTACTGGAAAAAGAACAACAAGCAAAGCCCAAAATCAGCAGAAGGAAGGAAGTAATAAAAATCAGAGCAGAAATAAATGAAATAGACACTAAAAAAAAATAGAAAAAATTAGTGAAACCAAGAGCTGGTTCTTCGAAAAGATAAACAAAATTGACAAACCCTTAGCTAGACTCACCAAGAAAAAAAGAGAGAAGGCTCAAATAAATAAAATCAGAAATGAAAGAGGAGAAATTACAACGGACACCTCAGAAATACAAAAGATAATGAGAATACTATGAAAAGCTATATGCCAACAAAACGGATAATCTAGAAGAAATGGATAAATTCTTAGAAACATACAACCTTCCAAAACTGGACCAAGAAGATGTAGAAAATTTGAATAGACCGATCACCAGTAAGGAGATCGAAACAGCAATCAAAAACCTCCCAAAAAATAAAAGTCCAGGACCAGATGGATTCCCTGGTGAATTCTAACATTCAAAGAAGACTTAATACCTATCCTTCTCAAACTCTTCCAAAAAATTGAAGAGGAGGGGAGGCTTCCTAACTCATTCTACAAAGCCAACATTATCCTGATACCAAAACAAGACAAGGACAACACAAAAAAAGAAAATTACAGGCCAATATCACTGATGAACATCGATGCAAATATCCTCAACAAAATACTAGCAAATCGAATACAACAATACATTAAAAAGATCATACATCATATCAAGTGGGTTTCATTAGGGGCATGCAGGGATGGCTCAACATCTGCAAATCTATCAATGTGATACACCACATTAACAAAATGAAGAATAAAAATCACATGATCATTTCAATAGATGCAGAGAAAGCATTTGACAAGATGCAGCATCCATTTATGATAAAAACTCTAAATAAAATGGGTATAGAAGGAAAATACCTCAACATAATAAAGGTCATTTATGACAAACCCACAGCAAATATCATTCTCAATGGAGAAAAACTGAAAGCTATCCCTCTTAGAAAAGGAACCAGACAAGGTTGCCCACTGTCACCACTCTTATTTAACATAGTATTGGAAGTCCTAGCCAGAGCAATCAGGCAAGAAAAAGAAATAAAAGGGATCCACATTGGAAAACAAGAAGTGAAACTGTCACTCTGCAGACAACATGATTTTATATCTAGAAAACCCTAAAGAGTCCACTAAAAAACTTTTAGAAATAATAAAGGAATACAGTCAAGTTGCGGGATACAAAATCAATGTACAAAAATCGGTTGCGTTTCCATACACTAACAACGAAGTAGCAGAAAGAGAAATTAAGAATACAATCCCATTTACAATTGCAACAAAAAGAATAAAACACCTACGAATAATCTTAACCAAAGAGGTGAAAGATCTGTACACCGAAAACTATAAAATATTGTTGAAAGAAATCGAAGAAGACACAAAGAAATGGAAAGATATTCCGTGCTCTTGGATTGGAAGAATTAACATCATTAAAATGTCCATACTTCTTAAAGCAATCTATAGATTCAACACAATCCCTATCAAAGTTCCAACAACATTTTTTGCAGAAATAGAACAAAGAATCCTAAAATTTATATGGAACGACAAAAGACCCCAAATAGCCAAGGGATTCCTGAGAAAAAAGAACAAGGCTGGAGGTATCACACTCGCTGATTTCAAATTATACTACAAAGCCATAGTAACTGAAACAGCATGGTACTGGCACAAAAACAGACACACAGATCAATGGAACAAAATTGAGAGCCCAGAAGTAAACCCACATGCTTATGGACAGCTAATATTCAACAAGGGAGACAAGAGCATACGATGGAGAAAGGAGAGTCTCTTCAATAAATGGTGTTGGGAAAACTGGACAGCCATATGCAAAAGAATGAAAGTAGACCATTCCCTTACACCACGCAGAAAAATCAACTCAAAATGGATTAAAGACTTGAATGTAAGACCCGAAACCATGAGACTTCTAGAAGAAAACATAGGCAGTACGCTCTATGACATTGGCCTGAACAGCATATTTTCAAGTCC